TGCTGAAATTCACTATTGTGAATATATGCCATTGCTTCACACCACCTTCAGCATCTTGTTGAACAAGAGAGAGCAAGCAGGTTCTGCTTGTACTATGCTCTCCACAGATCTCAGTTCACATAAAGGCTGCTTTTCAGAAAGATACAGGCAGCCTTGTTGCACACGTGTTAATTAAGCAACAGTAGCACTGGAAAGGTACTGAGAGAATGGGAGAGGTGTAGTACAATTGTGTGCTGCATTCTTTTTGATGCACATCAGAAGATTTTAAGAGACAGTTCTATCAATATATGAAAAGACCTCAGTGCTGTAGCCTTTGGCCTAATTAACCCACCTTGCAGCTTTTGTAATGATTTGAGCTTGAGACCAGTCATTTACATAGGTCTTTGATCTGATCTGGATGGATTTTGCTGTTAAAAACACTGACTTTTCATTGATTTTAGAATTGCAATTTGTGGGATTCAGTAGCTGTAGCAGCCCAAAGCAATTGCAAGTAAATGAGAATGATGATAGTCCACGAGAAAGATCCTATTTGTCCAAGCTGTCAAAGAAAAAAAAAAAAAGGCCATTTGTGGGAAAGAAGAGGAAAAACTTTAATCTGAACAGAAATCTGTGATTCTAATAATTTTACATAAATTAAAGTCTGTGGCAGCTTAAGTATAATCCCCATATAGTGCATTAACCTGGCTGTGTTGCTTTAGTAAGTCCTCTAAATGAACCTGCATGGAGACTCATGGCTTGAGTCAAAAGACAGCCTGTTGTCATTTCATACTTGAAAAATAGCTACCTATGCTAACAGACGCTGTGTTTGTTTGTCAAATGCTTTGAGATCTGCAGCTAATTGTCTGAAATGCTATTTTTGGCAGAGACCTTGGAACAGTTGGAGCCGTTGCTATCGACAGTGCAGGAAATGTAGCTTGTGCAACATCAACAGGAGGACTTACTAACAAACGGCTTGGCCGCGTTGGTGATACAGCATGCATAGGTAGGGGAAGAACAATACCATAGACATGTCTTCTCTTTCTCATAAAATGCACACGATCAATAATAGTTTCATAATGCTCAGTGACTGCATTCCAGAGATAATAAGGGCTCGTAGGTCTTCCGGAGGCCATCCCTGCTCCGTATAGAACCAGATCCTTTTAAATCTGAACAGGGAGAATGGAAAGTACTGAAGTGGAACCAGCAAGTAACTGTTTGGCTTGCAGTTCAAACAAAGCTATTTTTATTGAATGGCATGTTTTCTTAAGATGAGATGATTTCATAGCTTTTAGGAAGCACCATATATCAAGATAAGTTGATGGAGTGGAAAGTGTGAAATATTTTGAGAATGTTTCTTCAGATACTAAAATATGTTCTCTGAACATGCTTTTCCCATGGAAACAGTCTAGTAGGCATTCTTTTCTGAGGAAGCATTGAGGGTGTTCCTTTCCACCCTTTACTTTCTCTATATAGTTTCATGAAAGTTGAGGCAATTGCATTCCACTTGAGCCCTTCATTGTTAATAAAACTCCAAAATATAGTTGATATTATCCCTGGCCTGCACTGTGTAATACATGGATATTGATTGGAGATGTGGGTTACTAAACTGCTTTTACCTTTCCCAGGAAGTGGTGGTTATGCAGATAATAGCGTTGGTGCCACCTCCACTACTGGTCATGGAGAGAGCATTATGAAAGTGATCCTGGCAAGACTTACTCTTTACTATATGGAGCAAGGTATATCCTGATGTTTCAGAAGTTTTACATTATATAAAGCATGAAACAGTAGTATTGCACACATTGAGTTGATGAACAGTGTCATTGGTTATTTCAGTTTTGAGGATGCATCATGTGGGAAGCACTTGAAGCACATGCAACAAATACTGATTTAGGAGCTAATACACATAAATGCAATCTGATATAAATTCAAAGGTTTGTTGTAGCACAGGGGTGTCAAACTCACGGCCTGTGGGCTGGATGTGTCACATGCTGGCCACACCCACCCTCAGTTTAGCGAAGGGGGAAAAAGTCCCGATATGTCACGTGACGACATGACGATGTGACTTTGACACCCTTGTTCTAGCATCTGCTCTTCTTAACCATGTAAATGTTTGGAGCTCTAATTTGCCATTCAGAGCAAAGGGCCTATGAAGTTTTCCGCTCTCCGCAGCCATCATTAGTGCCCTTATTAGTGGTCCTATACCAGTTTATGGTTTTACTGCAAGAAATATTCCAGCTCTTCGTTTTTTGTTTTGTTTTGACAATATTGAATGATTCTGTTTTTACATGAATTTTATTTGTTGCCTTGAACACCTACTGGCTTTATCAGTATATCTAACACGAGGCTCCTTACACTTTATATTTATATAATCGATGGGATTGGCAAAGAGAAAATAAAACAATTTAATATTTTAAGTTAGTTTTCTCCAAGCTAGTGTTCTCCATGAAACCATCCTGGATGGAGAATTATAGGAATTGAAATATATTTGGATGTTACTAATCTAATGACAGTTGGTCTCAGGGATCATCTCCAAACAACAGCATTTTCTCTTTTTAGCTATATTTGTGTTGATCTCAGTCAAAATCATCCTAAAGTGACATTCTACCAATATGTACTGGAATAATTCTATTTAAAAAAAAAAAGTTGCATGCAATGAAGTGTTGGTCGTAAGTAAAAAAAGCATGACTGCAAAATGTTCATGTCATATTTTCACATTCAGCAACAATATGCTTATAACTATTGAAGGGTTTGGGTTACTCAATGCTGAAGCCTTTTATATCTGTTATAAATACCATTTTTTCCTCTGACTTCTGTTTAAATATAATAAATTCATTAAAAATGCTCTGATCTGGGTATTGATGTGGAAGAGTGCTATGATAAACAGCTAGCAACAGGATATTCATGTGACCATAACATAATCTAACTATGGTTGACCATGGAAAACTTTACCTTTTGGGTTATCTAAACTCTTGACTTCTATTACAGTCTGGACACATATTAATCCAATCTTTTTTCTGAATATAGTTACTTACAGGGAAAAGTGTGATTCTGTTGCTAATTTGTATTACTCAAGAACTTCAAATAGTTTCACAGAAAATGTTGAGTTGCAAAACAATGTTGGTAGATATATTGTCTCCAAAGCCCTTGATAGCCTGGCTATCTTACTAAGGGACACTTGATCTCTATTTTATGTAACTTGACAACAAATGTTTAGCTACATTAATTTGGAACATCATTTCCCCTCACATGAAAGGTTGTCTGCATTGGGAGCAGATAACAATTGTGTTTTAAATAAGAGTTTGCTGCCTCAAGGGCCTCCTAGTTTAGCTTTTTAGTTATGGGATAGAGAAAAGGTTGCTTCTGTCTCTTTGGGAGGATTAGATTAAAACATTCCTCTCTCAGATGCTCAAGTCATAATATCTGGCACTTGTTCCTCCAACTTTATCTTTGCTATGATCTTGTGTAACAGATTAGGCTGAGAAAGGCTCAGAGTCGCAAAGGAAGCTTAATGGCTAGATAGGAATTTAAAATAAATCATGTATGTTTTATATTCCTTATACTGTAGATGACGTTATTTAGCTGATTTTGGCTGAGGCTTGATTGGAGACCACTAGGAAAGTTCAGGACTGTAGGAGAAACTGGAAAGTCAAATTTTCTTTAAAAATGGCTTTAATAAAAAGGGAGAAAGGAATGCAGAAAAAAAAGTAAATACAGAAAACAGGCACATATGAATAATAGCCTTTTCAAAGCATCAGCTCAGTTATTAAATGCTGCAGTAAATCTTGACCACACAGAATATTGGTCAATCTTTCCATTGTGTCGATAGAGATCCTGTTTAGAAGCAGAGAATGAACACACAGTCTAAGACTGCCAATCTAGGGTAATGCTGTCTTTTCTTGTGAAAGGACAATCAATTTCATGACATTCCATGTTTAAGACAGAATAGAATAGAATAACAGAGTTGGAAGGGACCTTGGAGGTCTTCTAGTCCAACCCCCTGCTTAGGCAGGAAACCCTACACCACTTCAGACAAATGGTTATCCAACATCATCTTCATATGTTACTGTTTCTCCAAAAAGAAGGCCGGGTCTTATTTTCTTTTGACCCCTGAAAAAACAGCTAGGCCTTCTTTTTGTAGGGTTCTAATTATAGACTCACCTTGCAAAGGTGGCACCGATGGCCCCGCCCAGCAGGAGCCTGTTGCTGGCCCATTTCTTCTGCGCCTGCTTGCCACCACTCATACGCATCACCCCGGCCCGTTTTGCTTTCAGATGCCTGCTGGAAGGCATGCATAGATCACCGATGAAAACATCCAGGGCAGTGGGCGGGGCCTCCCGCCAGTTTTACTACCAGTTCTTGCAAACCAGTCCGAACCAGGGGCAACCCACCACTGATCTGCAGCCGATAACAGAGCTCCGGATTGATCCAGAGCTCCGTTATCAGCTGCAGATGCCTTCTGGAAAGCTCCTCTACAGCCGATAATAGAGCTCCGGACTGATCTAGAGCTGTTATTGGCTGTAGATAACAGATGCTGGCAGGCATCTGAAGGCGAAAGGGCAATGCATGCAAGTGGCAGCAAGTAGCCGCAGAAGAAGGCGAGGCAAGTGTTGGGGTGTACGAGGCCTAGAAAGTAGGGCAGCTCCACCCCCCCATCTCCACCCTAGCTTATTTTTTACCTATGTACCTCACCCCTCCCTGAACTCTGGGGTGGGCGGGGTCTTAATTAGGGCTAATTTTGTAAGAGGCTTAATTTGATCTCATGCACTCAAAAACGTGATAGGGCTTCTTTTCAAGGTGGGTCGTCTTTTTGGAGAAACACAATAATAAATATAAATTCAAAATTTAAAAATATAATTCAAACTTGTATTCACATTTAAAATCATACTATCCTTCCCCAAAATCATATTTACATATTTATGAATGTCAGCGCTAAAACTTGGTCAGTTAAATTACATACAAAGAAACAAGTTAAAACATATGCCCTGTGATAAAGTTAAAAAGCATGAAAGTCTGTGTGTTTGTTTGTTTTATGACTGATTTCTAAGACCACCTACCTACGATCATAAAATCATCACAAACTGCAGGTTAGATTAAAAAAAAAAAAGGAGTATAGAGTTATAGGGAATGGCCCTTAAAGACCGGAGGAAGAGCTTCTACCAAGGCAATGATCAAATAAGGGGGGCCTAGGTCAAGAAAGTAATTTGAGAAAATGTCTCAGACAAGCCTCTTTTTAATTCACACAAATATAAAGTAAGGGAGGGGGGAGCACATTCAGACTTATAAGATTCTGTTACTATAGCAGTTTCAATAAAAGTAGTCCTGTTCTATGTTACTTAGTTCAGGTCGACTATGTAGAACTGACAAGGGTCTCGTCTTTCTATACTTCTTAATAATCTATTTAAGTAAGAGTAGGAATTAATATTTATTTTTTGCAACATATACCCCATAGGTTCATAGGATTGCTCTACTTTTATATATTTCTATATCTATATACAAACTAATGTTGATTATAATAGTAAAATCTAATACTGAATCTGCAAGAAAAAATAATAGAAAAGAGTAAAAAGTACAAGAAAAAAGAAAAGAAAGAATATATTGAAGTGACTTCCAACCTTCATCACAACAAATATAAACAGTGATTCTTCACCCCCTCTAATTGATGGAACAATTGATGGAAACATATCCCATCTCTTATGGACAAATCCATAAAGCATCTTTTCAGTCGTGTTAGTAGAAAGTCCATAAAAGGTTATCAAAAGTAACAACATATCTTGCTTAAACTTGATCAACCAATTTTATATTCCTTCCTTTTACTTCTTAATCTGTAGTTCAGTCAAATATTGCGGTAGGATTTGATTTCTCTCCATTTCTTCTTTGTCCCATTGCACAGAGTTCTTCAAGGCTTTAACAAGTCTCTTTTCTAATTCCAATAGGAAAAAAATTATCCAGGTTACTCTCTTAATTTTTCATTTGTATTTCTTTTTTAAAATTTTAAAGGTTTTTTTTAAAGATCCCATGTAACAACCTTTTCTAAGTCATTCTCTTGGTCTGTCAGTTGTAAATCCACTTTTGATACCATCTCTATCTTGTCAGCTAAAATTTCTTCTATATCTGACATTTTTTCAATAAGATACAGTACTTTGAACATAGTTGATCCATAGAAGCAGACATCATTAACAGACATCATTACTGAACTGTTGATATTATAGCTATTATTTTCTGATTCCAGTCTTCAAAATCTCCTTCAGTTACGTCTGATCCCATCATTTCCCAGCATTCAAACTTGACAGCAAACCACTGTCCTACAGTGTCCTCACAAGTAATAGTCATCTATATGCAGCATGTATGGATGATTTCCTATCTTGATCTTACCTGGAGAGATTCCAAGAGACTGGTCTACTCATTGATTTTTTGATCTTTGCTACTGTCATAAACACTAATCAGATACAAACAATCTAATATATTTTCATCTACAAATGAAAAACATTTTCTTCAAATAATTACTTCCAGATATTTAAGATACCCAATAAAATAAATTTCCATAGATTTAATGGAGCCTATCAGAAGTCTATGAGAGTTGCTTCTACTGAATAACCTGACAACACACCATATTGCTGTACAATATAAATAAATCTTAGTATAGGGCATTTATAATTACTATATGGCATATTTTATCAGCATATACTGTAATAGCTGTTTTTAATGTGACACTTTTGTGTCTAGAATGTTCTTTGAATTACCTAACAATACTGGCAAATTGTTCCAGTTTTTAATTATTAAAGAAGGAATTAAAGGACATTCGATGAGTTCCTTAAGACATCTTCACTTATGAAAAAAATAATTCCTTCTACAATATTTCTATCTTGAGGACTGGAGTACTGTTTCAATTAGTAAAAAAAAAGGAAATCCATATGAAAACCGCTGCTTTCGTAGTAGCAATTGTACTGAAGCCCAGTGGTATCCATCCAGAACAGCATCAACCAGCAGAGCAAATTCTTTCCTTTCAAATCTGCTCTTAGGAGTCACTCCCTATCTCTTGGGTAGATAGGGAGCTTCAGGGATGAGGAAGGAAAAAATCAGCAGGGTGAACGAAAGCCTATTGGCATGAAATTGAATGTAACCCTGAAAATAGGCTGATACAGCATGTTTCTGCAATCTTACAAAAGCAGTGAAGGAACTTCTGTTGGAAAACTTTCAAGATAGAGTTGTACAATATCAGGAAAACACAAAGCCTTCCTGAGTCATGCTTGATTCCCAATGACTGCACAGCAACACCTTAGATATGTAGAAAAGGTTGTCCCTGTTTTTGAACTTCTGAATTCTTAGCCCTGGGATTTCCTGGCGTAGGATTAGCCAGGTCTGACCCTGCTTAGTTTTTTTTCTAAAACAGCACAGGTGGGCTAGCTTTTTGCCGAGGCCTGACATAAATAATGTGAAAGAGTGGGATACATTTTTAGCATCTTTTAAAAAATGATATAAAACAAAAAAATGTCGGAGTAATATGTGGGTAAAGAAACATTCCAGAATCTGTCTTAAAACACCCATAAGATTTATAACCTGAAATCTGGTAGCTGTTAATATGGCATTCTCAGCATGATTCTGGCTTGCATGGGTGTGTACATGTATATAACAGGCCTGATATAATAATATAGAAAAGATAAACTGGTCCTAACTGCAACAGTGAGACAGCTAAGAAGTGTTTCCAGGTTAAATCACACTTCGAGGTGCTTTAGTTGACAATATTGGTTCAGCATTCTTTAGCCAAAGAAGAGCTTTTAGACAATATGGATGCGTAGGCTTAATCTCATGTTTAGACTATTATAAGAGAAATATATAATAAAATCAGCATTTTTCAACTAAAGCTAGAAAATTCAGTGCGTCCTAAGTGAAGAGGATGTGCTCAGCTGAAGGTTTAGAACTGAATCACTCCCTCACAGAATCAGAATAGCTAAACTTTGCAATAGCAGCTGTTGTAGAGTGAACATTTCCTCCTTCTTGGCTTTTTAAAGGCAGTGGCTCTAGTTTATAAGCATAGGAATCATTTCCATTCTGGGGTTTCATTTCTATTAGGAGGAAGAAGAAAATCTTTTATCTGGTGGTTACGTCTCCATGGATTATACTTCATACCTGATTCATTTGATATTTTTAAGTCAAGTGGCTTACTTCCAAACAAAGATTATAAATCGGAAAAAAAAACAATCTTGAAAGATAGCATTGAAATTATTTTGCACATTCAATGAGTTTTGTTTTTGGACATTGAATTAACTACACAGAACACACAACTACACAGTTGATTAAATGATTCTTGCTTTTTTAAAAAAATACTGTTTATTGAATATTTTGGGCTTGCTGTATACTTGGAATTTAATAAAATGTTCAGAGTTAATATGCATTATAATAGCTATGCTTAATAGGTGTGCATTAGTATTAATAGTCTTATTTTTCAGTGATAAAATGATGCTCTTTAAAGTTGTCCAGAGTATTAATAACTGATCTTTATTAAACCATACATTTGGAAGGGAGTGGAGACAAAACCAGAAAAGCCAACCTGTATTCTGTGACACAGGTTGACTCATCCACTCTTCTTTTCAGTAACAAAGTTTTTTTGTCATTAAAACAGCTGGAAGAATAATTTTAGTTATTAGAAGACTTCATTTGTAGTTGTTTATGTTGCAGGGTGTATGATTGTCAGGAATTAATCAAATCTAGCAAAACATACCTTGAATTACCGGTAGATTGGTAGGCTATAATCTTGTCTGTTTTAGAGAGTTTGAAGAGACTTTAACAATAATTTCTGTATAATTTGGGCAGGAAGCTTTCTACTGATTAAAACTAAAACATTTAGTAGTTCAAACAATGAACTACTTGAGGAGACTCAATGGAAATTTTCATCCCTGCGTCCTTTGTGATGAACAGCTGTCAGATCACAATCGCCTTTGAAGCACTCTTCACTTTCAAAAGAAAATGAATCCACCTGAATTGGAAAGCTTTTCCCCCCTCTGTTTTGAAAGCAACAAGCCTGAAGAGCCCTTATATTCACAGAAATAATGGCATAGTTTTTTGGATATGCTTCTTTTCAGACGTTTGTTTTGTTCATGACTCTTTGTTACCTCAGAGAGCCAGCTTGGTGTAGAGCAGGGGTGTCAAACTCATGTCATGATGGCGACGTCATGTGATGTATCATTACTTTTCCCCCCTTCGCTTAACCAGGCATGGGCGTGGCCAGCGCATGATGCATCCAGCCCGTGGACTGAGAGTTTGACACACCTGGTATAGAAGTTCAGGCACCGGTTAGAAACTGGGAGAGTATGCGTTCTGTTCCCACTTAAGCACAAAGCCAGCTGGGCAATCTTGGGCCAGTCACTGTATCTCAACGCTAGGAAATGGGCAATGGCAAGCGACTTCTGAAAATTTTGCCAAGAAAACTGAAAGGATTAGTCCAGGCAGTCATCAGGAGTCAAAAACTGACTTGAAAGCACCCCCTTCAAAATTTACCTCCAAAGGTTGTTGGCAGAATGCAAAATAGTCTTATCTGTTTAAAACATATAAAATAGTTATCCATTTAAAATGAACCTTTGATTTCTTTCTTTTAAAATTAAGGCATTTTTCATATTCTGATTTTTCAGGGAAAACACCAGGAGAGGCTGCTGATGCTGCTCTAGATTGTATGAAAACCAGAGTTGGAGGCTTAGGTGGCATCATTGTTATTAGCAGTTCAGGGGAGTGGGCTGCTAAATTCTCTACCAACCAGATGTCGTGGGCTGTTGTGAAGGATGACCAGCTACAGTCTGGCATTTATACTGGGGAGAGGATTACACAGTCCATTGAAGCAGCCTTTGCCTCCATTGGATCTTAGAAACAAGGAAGGACACTGAAGTTGTGCCACAGGAGGAAGATCATGGAATTGAATCTGTATCCCTCCCAGAATGAGGCAAGCACTTTTTTCAGGGTCACTGCCTTGTGAGCAGAGAGTACGCTATTAAAGTTTTTCTTCTAGATTGTGTATGTTTAGTTCCTATTTGTAATTTGATTGACAAAAACAAATTTTGACTCAGTATGTATTTTAATTTTCATTCTTCTGAATAAAAGGTTCTTCAGAAACTTGATGGAATTTCATCAGCTTCTTGATATCTGATACATTTGCATGATATCAAATGGTAATGTGAAGAGATGCTTAACATTCAGAAAATGAATATAAGATTAGTAGAGACTATATGTAATGAAATATCCATATGTGATTATCTCATGTTTACATGTAAATTAACATTGCACTATTAATTACTCTCTTTAACTAAACTTGAATAGTTTTTTTAAGTCTTTCTGTATGAAATTACAGTAGCGTTTTATGGAAAACCCATTTTGAAACATTAAGAAATGAAAATGAAAAATTATTTTCTCAGTATAGAGATATTTTTCAAAAATGTTTTACAATTTAAGAATTGTGTAGATGTTCATATTATTGGTCTAAATCTATTATTCTGTGATTATGGTTTATTAAGAAAAACCAAGTAGCAGTGTAAAAATCCAAGTAATTTTATAATAAATTTGTTCATATGTATTGACTTAAGCCTGGAATTTATTTATTTATTGGTTCGATTTATATGCCGCCCTTCTCCGGAGACTCAGGGCGGCTTACAATGCATTAAGCAATAGCCTTCATACTTTTGTATATACCCGCTTAGTAGGGCTTTAGGCCCCCCCCAGGCGGTGTTCTTTTTTATACAAAGTCAGCTTATTGCCCCCACAATCCGGGTCCTCATTTTACCTACCTCAAAAGGATGGAAGGCTGAGTCAACCTTGAGCCTGGTGAGATTTGAACTTGCAGTAATTGCAGGCAGCTGGTGCTATTTAACAGCACTTTAGTCTGCTGCGCCACCAAGGCTCTAATTGTACCATGTTCTCAGGAACACAACAATTTAAAGAAAATCATAGCCAACATTTATGATGATACATTAGGATGGAAGTGGGCAAGATTTTATTGCTTTGATGCTAAAGTTGGATGACTGACATCAGGGATATAAAGCAGTAAGAGAACTAAGAGGCTATTTTGCACACAAGTCTTGTTCAATAAGCCATATGTTTGGTTTTTCATGTTTTCCTAGACAAATTTAAAATATTACATTTCTCATATTATAAGAGATGCCTATCCCCCCCACTTTCCATTAAACCGAATTTTAACAGTTCTTATTTTCCAACAATAATAATTTATTATTTTGATCAGCAGGCTCTGGGATGGTATTATCCTAACAACATATTACTAAAGCATAATTATTCATGCCTGCTTTTTGATCCCAGAATTTATATCATGCTAAGTTCTGATCCTGGATCCTTTTAGAGTAGGGGTGTCAAACTCACAGCCTGTGGGCCGGATGCGTCACACACTGGCCATGCCCACCCCCATTTTAGCAAAGGAGGGGAAAGTTGCGATGCGTCACGTGATGTGTTGTCACGAGTTTGACACCTCTGTTCTAGACTGTTATATGAGCTAATAAATCATTCCTAATTTTCAGTAATCAGTAACTTAGATTATTGCACTGTTCTCACAGTACTACTAAATACACACACACACGGGAAGTTTGATAAACTTAGGAGTTAGTAGATGCTTTGTACTCCCCAACCCTCTGCAATAAATTAAGGCGCCAATAGCAATTTAATGGCATTTGTCACAAAGATCACACACTATTCAGACTCTCTGGATTAACTTTTCAGCTGAATTTCGGACCATTTGTGTTCAGATTTGACTTCACCACAAATCTTTCTTCTATATTTCAAAAGTACCATGTTTTCTTGCATTTGCTGAATATTGTTGTGGTTCTAAAGCCTTGAATGTCTGATTGCTAATGCTTTACTAGTTTCAATCATGTACTATGCATTGGAGCATATAGCTCATCAAATACTTGGCTGCATCAGGCAAAATGAGCATAAAACCATAATGCATGTATAGCAACATTGGAAGCATCTCCTTAGCAACACTAAGCCTTACAAAATATGTCATTTTATGTAGATCTTACTTTATCTAATTTTACTGAAAAATAAAGTCCTATAAGCTAATAACTTCCATACTTAGTCCCAATTGTTATTTAGCTTTTGTAGTTCTATATTTGTAATGATGTGACTTACTGCTTGAAATCTATTGCAAGTTTTATTACTGTTTTAATATTGTTAAAAGTGTAGGAAAGGCAATGAAATGGTCATCTTAGAGGGTCATATTAATGCTAAAACAATAGAACATTTATTTTGTAACTAGAAAAGAGATCTCTACCACAGAGCCAAATGTTCAAATGTGAAATTTATTTTTATTTTTACGTTTTTGACAATGAATCCCTTTGCTTGACATTTTTATGTGTGAAACAAGATTTATGTTTATAAATGCCTTTTATCAATAAAAAAGCTAAATAACAGTCAAATTAGGAAACTATTCAGTATAAGGGACCATCTCTTTCTGATTATGTCTGCCCATCCCATCAGACCCAGTATGTTGGAGATCCTGTCTAATAAGGAGTTTCACTTGGCAGGACCCAGGAGACAGACAAACATGTGGCTCCAATTATTCAATGAACTACAGAATTGATGTTATTTGCAATTGATAAATCAATAGCTTATCAATACAGATTAGCTATATATGGTTGTAACAAATTATGGCTTCGACTTGTTGAAATGTTTAATGTACAACTGTGAATGTTTAATGTCTGTCTGTGAATATATGCCCTGTATGATGATTTTAGGGATTCCCCCCCCTTCTTTGTTGTTTTTTTTTAATATTTAGGTACTACAAGAATCAGAATATGTAGTAAATCCTATCACCAAAATAAATTAATGAAAAAATAAACCTCAATTGGAGAGAAAGCCAAGTTGGTTTTATTTCCTGCTTCCAGTTATTGATGAAGATACTCTTTGAAAAGTTCAAACTATGAGAATACTAAAAAATAACAATTAAGAAAATCTACTACTTTAAGAAAAACTTAGATGTAGTAACTCATTTTCAGCATCATTAAGCAAGTTTTTAAAATCCTATTTTAAATACGTATAGACCACGTAGATGCATTAAGCATGGCAGCTTAAAACAGTATTATACATTTTATCAAAAAGTCTAACGCTATAGCATTTTATATCTGATGGCAAAAAAATGCTTTTTTAGTACCATATGCCAGGGAACGTGGGATCTATGACTATGTGCATTTTCCTAAAAACGAGGTATCTTTTCTCCAGAAGCCACTGCAGCTGCAGAAGGTCGACCCACAATCTTTAAGCATTGGCTTTAAGAAACTGCAAACATGTGCCACTCAAGTGCCCTTATGAATTCTTCAAATACCAATTCCTACACAGTTGTGCTAGTTAGAGTAATTTGAAGTTATTTTTATTTCCTCTTTTTCTTGGCATGAAGCTTCAGTGGAACTTGAATGTCTACCTTTCAAAAGATGTAACTCTTTCTTTTCTGTGCCCATAAAATTTTTGGAAAGAGAACTTCAAGAATTCATTGATGGTATTAATAATCATTACTTGCACTTTGTTTGAAGGAAAAAATATAATTTCATGAATTCTTTATAACACCTCTAGTATGAGAAAAAATATCTAATCTTCTTTGTGCTGTTTTAGAAAAATATCGCTAATTACTATCTCTATAGAAAATGTACCCATGACACAGAAAGTTCTCTGCTATACTATTTAAAAGGCAGCCACCCTTTATTAATTTTGCTGCATTACAAGTTCAAGTGTTTTTTGCAATACGAAAATACTCAGATGCATCCCAATCATTTACTCTTCTGTACTTTCAACCAACAGCTGGTTTGCGTTTATCAATATGCAGAGCTTCTCTAAAAGGATGCTCATAGCTTTCATCAAATTAAAGGCCTAAAATTTTACATAGTTTGAACATAAGATATGTTAGTCAATGTTTTTTCTCTTGTTTTGGCTTCAGTTACTACACATCACCTTCATGCACCTCCAGCTACTACATTTACATGCAGCCTTCCTACAGTAGTCCTCGATTTATGACAATTGAGTCCAACATTTCTATTGCTAAATGAGATATATGTGAGTTTTGCCCCATTTTACGACCTTTCTTGCCTCAGGTGCTAAGTAAATCAACTAGTAGCACAACTGTTAAGTGAATCTGGCTTCCCCATTGACTTTGCTTGTCAGAAGGTCATAAAAGGTCACTTTTTATGATCCAAAACACTGCAACTGTCATAAATATGAGTTAGTTGCCAAGTGTCTGAATTATGATCACGGGGATGCTGCAGCAGTTATAAGTGTGAAAAGTGGTCATAAGTCACTTTTTCCAGTACTGTTGTAACTTAGTAGTCATTAAATAAACTGTTGTGAGTTGAGGACTACCTGTATTGAATATATTTTTCCTACTTTGCATCAAGTGTGTAGCACACAGGCACAATTTTTTTAAAAAATTAAGAAAGTAGCTTTACAACATTAAAAATAGCAAGTGTCTCATAAGAAAAAAAAATATCATAGGTGGCCTTTTAAATTTTTTTTTAAAAATGGAGGTCTTTTGGATTATCTAGAGTCCTCATGAGCCACAATTGATAACTCTCAGTCTAATATTTGTAGATAGTTTCCCAAAATCTGAGAATCCGAGTATAAGTCTCAATTCATGCAATGGCTAATGCTGATTTGTGTTGTGGTTTTTTTTTTTTTTTACCTTGGGTGCAGATTAAGTGCATACTGTTCTTTCTTTCTTGCTTTATGTTCTTATGCTATTTTTAATTGCTAGTTGCCCAAAATCATGAATTTCAGATTGACAGCTATATAAATTGAAAAAACAAACAAACAAACATTTTCATTTAGGTATGAGACTGATACTGTTTCTTCAGAAAAGCAGGATAAAGAAGATCAGTGCTGATTAGAACTGATAATGATAATGCCAACATTATCAAACTGATTTGATAATGCCAACATTATCAAATTGTTTTCAAAAATGCATTGCACAGAATTTATGCTTGTTAGATTTCCAGAATCATGAGATACTTGATTAGAACAAAATAAAATTAACACTGCTCCCCAGAAGGGAACTTTTTCAATTCATCTTCAGCACTGAAAACTCAAAACAAGAGGGCTGTGCCAAGTCACCTTACATAAGACGTTATACATATATCCTCAGTTATAAAAACACGCTGATTAGTTTTTATAGCATTTGTCTTCAAAATAAACACCAGTAACTAGAAAATTATTCTTTCAGCCCACATTTAATTTAAAAAGGGAAAACATGACTCACATTTTCAATTAAAAAATTCATACATGGATTTTGAATTTTGATGTCTACGTTATGAAATATCTTCTTAGTTTGATCCTGCCCTCAGTTAAGTTAGTTACATGTACATCAGATTTCTGTAGCCTGATTTTTTTTAAAAAAAGTAATTAGATTTACAGGGGATCCTCAGATTATGACCACTCGATCAGTGACCATTCAAATTTACAATGACATTGAAGGAGTTGTAGTTAAGATTGATCCTCAGAGTTCCATTCATCACAGCATTCCTGAAATTACATGATCATGATTCCCAATGTTCCCTGCTGGCTTCCCACAAGCAAATCATTGGGGAAGCCAGTAGGAAATTGAAAGTCATGGTTAAGCATATGTGCTTGCTTAATGACCCACATGGTTCTCATTTAACAACTGGGACTACCAGAAGTGCCAGCGCTAAACAATATAGTCATATGAGTTCATGTGCTTCAGCTGCATCACTTAGCACTTCCAATCCTACTAGCCATTTTAACCCAAAGACTACCTATGGGTAAATGCATATTCACTTAATACACACTACTAACTGCCATACTGTGGGATTGAACAGTCAAATAGTGGATAAAAAATTAGGATTGCCAGCTATGAAGCAGAAATTATCGGGTTCTTTGTTTACAATTAATAAATCATATCCACTGTTAGGACACCACATAATAAAATTCTTAGACTGTGAGAATAATAAAAACAAGAAACAAGATCAAAAATCTTGCTGTAAAATAAATTTGAGAATAGCACTCTTAATAAAATAAGAGAAAAATGCTGATTGCCGATCTGAAGCCAAATGTACGGTAGTAGAAGACAAAGTCAATAGTCAGAAGCACCTAAAACTCAGGTCCTTAACTCAGATTCCTGCTGACCTAGCCACTTTGTATGTAGTAAGTCACAGGACCTATAATAACTGTGGTCCCAGTTCGGCATTTTGAACTTTGCATGGAAATGAGAAATGAAGCTAATACAAAATATGAAGGTTGTAAATCTTATTCTTGAAAAAAATTCTGGCTTGCAAAATATCTTATTAACCAAAGCTTCCAAGCAGCGTTCAAGGGTGATCACTGTGAGTTTATTTATCTAACACACCTAACCATGGTTTATTTTTCTGGGTTCATGTGACAAATTGACAGACATATTGGTTGTATTCTCATGATATATTAAATACATATTAACCAATCACATCTTAGGCTAATGTGTAATGTGAACCCAATGGCTGAACTATAATCTCGTGAATGGATTTGTATACAATCCGCTAGGCTAAAATGCAGCTGGTTTCACTATGGAGTATTTTATGCTCCTAAACTAAGAGATAGAATGAAATAAACATTGTGACCAGATCTCTTCAGCAACTATAGGCAGATATCAATATTTTCCCTTAAATGGATGGCAGAGGCAATCCACAAAATACTACTGGCTCTTCTACACATCTTAAAAGCAAGTACTATCATTTCAAATGAAAAAAAAATCATGAAGCCATTTTAAGGTTTTTTTTTAAAAAAATAGTTTAATAAAAACAAAATGTGGATATAGACAAGGGTCACCCAATGCCTATTTATCATTTTTCCAAGCTAGTACCCTCTAGCTATATTAGAACTACAACTCCTCAACCAGCTAATTATGGAAGTGATTGTTCTACACATCTGGAGGGTGGGATTGGGAGAAGCTGGTTTACAGGTAAATTCAGATCAGTGGTGAAATCCAATTTTTTTTACTACCGGTTCTATGGCGTAGCTTGGTGGGCGTGGCTTGGTGGGCATGGCAGGGAAAGGATACTGCAAAATCTCTATTCCCACCCCATTCTGGGGCCAGCCAGAAGTGGTATTTGCCGGTTCTCCGAACTGCTCAAAATTTCCGCTAACGGTTCTCCAGAACCTGCTGGATTTCACCCCTGGTTCAGATCCTCAAAGGTCTTGCATGTGCCTTAGTTGTGTTACATTAGCATTTTTATAGAAAAAAATCATTGCAGCCATTTTTTTCTCAAAGTGACATTGCTCATTATTTTTAAAAGCAAACACAATATAAGAGTAAAAACTACATTTGTTCATGGAAAAAAAATCCATAGATACAATAGCTGGCTCAAATAAGATACTCATCAAGTTTTCACAACTTCTTCAAATATTAAAGATAGTCTTCCTTATCAACAAAAATCTGTATTGTACCTTGTTCATTTCCCACCCCCCCATCACGTGTTTCTCACGAAGCAATCCATCCGTTCCCGAACCAAAAGGTCAGAAATGAATCCTTTGCCAATTTTCATTGACCCGTCTACTGCCTCTATTTTACATTTCTTTGACAAGCCAGGTCCATTTTTACATTCTGCCCAGGTAAGGCACCAACAGCCAGTTGCGAAAAGACACGTGTATTAGAACAACAGTGAACACGCACAAGTTGAACAATAGCATGCACAGACTCCCATGCACATCACACAAAGATAACACAAATCAGCCCCAAAAGCTTTACTTTTCTGGGTTGTGCGGGTGATGCTTCCGATGCTCAACACCCGACTACAATTTTTACTCCACACTTTGCCAGTCTTCATTAGCTCAACCTTACGCAGAAGTAAGATCAAAGGCTGCCATATAATATAAGATGATATACGGGCTCGACAGGGCGCCGACCAGATGTTCTTGCAGATCTTCCGTGTCGCAATCGGAGAGTCCTTATTGACGTTTACCCACCTTTTCCCCGAAAGCGTTTCCTAATGCTACCCACAGTAGTAGCGGCGAGGGCTGCGGTTGCCTCTCTCGCCGACACTTTCCCAGCTGTTCGACCGTATCGGACCACACCGCAGCTGCGAGAATTGCAACTGGGTCGAACAAGCCGGGATGAGAATGAGAAAGAAAGGGGCAGTCGAGGAAAGGTTCCATCCTCCTCCTCCTCCTCCTGATTGGCTCATGCTGACGGGACGCTCCGGACCGCCGTCATTTCATTGGCTCAAATCTCTGCCATTCCCCTGGAGCTAATTGGAGGAGCTCGAGCGTGGAGAAGATGGAATCCCGGAGGAGGGGTTTCAAAGCAGAAGCAGCCCCCGCGGGTGGAGAATTCATTCTCCCGCTGGCCACCTGCAAGCGGGGCGCTCGGCCACGGGCGGGAAAGCCCGCGCGCGCGCGCGCGCGCTCTTCGGCGCTTGGCAGGACAAGGGAGGCCGGGTGGGGAGCGACGGGGAGTCTTTTACTTTTCTTTCTTTCTTTCTTTCCTACGGTCTCTGGAGTGGGGGAGGAGAGAATTTGCAGCCGAGTCGGAAAGAACCGCAGCTGTCAAAGGGAAAGCAAATGGGGGCGGAGGAGGAGGAGGAATGGTGGTGGTGGGGAAACAAGGAGAAACAAAGAACAAGGCGAGACATTGCAAGCAAAAGAAGAAGAGGTGGAGTCTGAAGGGACGCTCCCCCTCAACGCCCCCTTGGGGAGCCAGGAAGAAAGGACACAGGACAGTGGAGGGACGGACAATGCCGAGCCCGGCCGCGCTCCCGAAGGAGGGAAAAGCGGCGAGCGCGAAGGATGGCGGGCAGAGTTTCCTTGGGGCGCTTAGTTGCGCTCTTGTGGGGCTAAACTCCACGTGACGCAAAGCGCGTCACCGTTCGGTTGCGCGGCTGCTTCTCCACGGCCGGAGGGGCTGCCCTCACTCCCTCCCTTTCCCACTAGGCGCTGGGGTCTCCGCTCCGGACGGAGCCGAAAGGCGGCCCCCCGGCGACGGCACCGCAGCCGCTCTTCTCCGGCGGAGGCAGTGGGTGGGAATTACGTGCGAGCGAGCGGGCGGAGGAGGGTGAGAAAGAACTTGGCGGACCGCCTGACTAGGTGGGCTCCGGCTGTTGCGCTGCTCCAAGTTCGGGGAGACGCGGGAGAAGGGCGCCCGCCAAGAACTTCGCCACAGGTGCCGCCCTCCACGTTTGCTGCTTCTTCGGCAGTGCTTCAGAGGCAGGAGACTCGTCGCTCTGGGGATTTGGGCTTTTCTCTTTGCAGCTGCCCTATATTCTGTGGGGGGGGGGGAGGAGGAAGAAGAGAAGGGGGTCTGCCTCGCTTTGCAACACACGCTTGTTTTGTTCATCCACGTCCCGCCACCGGAACAGCAACGCCGGGGAAAAAAAGTTACAAAGCTCGTGTGGGACAGCGAGGTGTGGCGGGAATTAGCCTTCGGCTTCCTTCCCCCTTTAAAAGCATAACAACATGGGTTTGGCTTGGAGTAGACTCCTCTTTCCTCCCTCCCTTCCTTCCTTGAATCGCCTTGCCTTGTGTTAAAAAGAGCTTGTCGGCGGCACGGAAGAGTGGCTGGGTGGGATATCTGGAGAGAGAGAGAGATGTGGGGATAACAATAACAGCAACAACAGTAATCGTAACGAAAAGGGACGCCTGGTTCCAGAGTGACGACAAATCCAAGCGGAAAAAGTCGAGCCGGCTGGTTTAATTTTGTTTAGTTTTGTCGCGGAGGGGGGAGAGTTACAGTCCTTTTACAAGCTCTGGCGTTGGTGACATAATGGAGCCAGTTCTGCAGGTGCAGCAACAGGTATCTTTCATGGCTGAGTGGACTGAGCTACAGATCAAGTTGCTCCAGTTGTGCTGGGAATGTAGCTCTGCGCTCCGCTCTGGTGTTTGTTTATTGTTAAGGAAGCCTCAGTTTACTTCCAAGTACTGCGTGTGTATTTCGGATTGAAACTGAAGGATAATTTGTGATCTCTTTTGAGTAACTGATCTATCTATGGTTGATGAGCTTATGTGCGTGAAAAATTGAAAATGAATGATGAAGCTGAATAAATTGTACATTTAATATTAAACAGATCGCATTTTAGTAGATTAAAAGTGCATTACTCTGGTCTAAATGTGCTTGAAATCTTTTGAGTTCACGTGGTCTGCTGAAGTTGTACTATATTTTGTTTTCTCTGCCTTCCTGTGTCAATACATTTTCATCTTCAAATAGGCATTGCTTAGTATGATTCCAGCCTTAATCTACTTCAGGTTTTAATTGTACTGTATTCAAAGGTTTAAATTGTTGATGGAACTAATGGAAATATCTTTCTTGTAGTTGTAAAAAGGATAAGTTCCCCAATTTTAAAATGTAACTTATGTTTCTTGGATCTTTTTCGCAAACTCCCAGAGATCAATGTTACCTATTAATCTTTTTAACACTCAATGTTAGGAAGACCATTAATATCACTTTATGTATTAGCTGACCTTGTAAGTCATTTCTAATGGGTTTCAGAACAGAGGCCATAGAGATTCATTATTCATAGTGAAGGTTTATCATCTGTCCTTGGGAAAAGTATAAAAACATTCTTCTGAATCATTTATCCATCTTGACAAGATATGTTGTAAGAACTGCAAGACTGTTTAAAAGATTTCTCTTAAACATTTTTTTTCTAATGTGCTACTATAATTCAACTTCCAGTTCTTGCTCACTGTATTTCTATTGCAGATTTTAAAAAAACCTTTTGTGAGTGTGTGCGTGTGTGACAGATTTTGTATTTCATACTTATAGCATATTGTAAATATTATCTCTGCTGTTTGGGGGTATGGGAAATATTGGGCTATAATAATATTTCTGGAATAAGTTTAAAACTTTGTAAATTTGTTTGACTAAGACCAAAATATTTTTTGCAGAAACCAAATGTTTGCATTTTTCAAATGAAGTTGGAAGTTCCACAATATTTTCTGTGCCCCCGCCCCCATCAGTTATGTTCCAGGATTCTCAAGAAATATATCATCACAACTTAATCCTATAATATTCAGTTAAAAACTTCAGGAAATAAATATTTCATCCCACTGAAGCTGTTTAAAACAGGGAAAGATACTTTGCTTTACTCTATTAAACATAACTAATAGCACTAACATCATTTTGCCTACTGGTATAAATGCTCATTCTTTTTCAGGAAATAGATATTGATTATGTGTGTACATACAGATATTGGGGTTCACATAACTCCTAGTGAAATACTAGCATTAAGAAGTTTGCAGGCACAACAGTACTACACACTGACCAAATTTCAGAAAACTTTCTCTCCCCCTCAAAAGTGGTGACATTTAATTGACCTTTGAAGGCTCATTCTGTTAATCATACTCAGTGCACTAAAGCTATGGTCCACTGATCTGGTGTTCTTCCATTTAACCGTGTTCAGCATATAAATTCTGCAGCCTAATTGCTACTTATTGAGCAAGAGTTTCTTTTCTTTTCTGAAAATAGGAGAGACTTGCTTTGCCTGAGGCAGGGCACTTGTAGAGTTCTAATTCAAAATGCTTTTCTGTCATTAGTTGGAGGGTGTGGCTTCTAGTTAGGAAAGGGGTGGAAATTCTTTTCTGATTAAACCTCTTTTTATGTTTCCTGAAGCGGTTTCCAATGGCTAGATGGATAACTCTGAATGTACTGCCTTGTACAGTGAAGAACATATTCTTAAACACATATTCTGATCTATAATTCTTTGCATTTATTTTCTTGGCACACCTAGTTTTATATTTTGAAACAGGTTAGGTTAAAATACTATAGAAACATAGGAAAACAATTATGGTAAATACTACCATTTTTTTCATATGTTAGTGTGTCCAGAGCTGAAAATATTACAAAAATACCCATCCACTTTCTTCAGTTCCAAAATATTGATTAAAAATACCTCATATCAAGGCTGCTTTTTATACACAGTCGGCTTTCCAAAAATAATGTATATGAACATACATAAACTACCCTATTTGGAAGGACAGTTACTGGAGCATTTTACTTGGCACTAGTTAATTGGCAGAACTTTGTATTTCAGCTGCGTGCATCTGGAACTTGCTATTTTCTCATTTTAAGACGTAATTGTTTCTGAATAACTAGATTTTGTATCCTTTTTGTTTGTCAGCCAGTGGTTAAATTATTAAGACGCTTATTGTTTGTGCTTCTCATTCGTGTTAATTTGAAAATAAGTTTTGGGTAAGAGATACTGGGTTTCTACAGTTATTTATTTCTAAGCCAGTATAAGTAAACTATAGTTTTTGGAGAGTTTCTCCCAAAATTCTACTTATATTTGGCATGACTGGAGCTTTATCCTGCATTAAGATAATTGTAATCTAATCTACATACGTGCATAGAAAGGTAGACGCTTAAAACACCAAAACTAGAGCTATATAATTAAAATCTCATCTCACAATATGATGTTTATCATATAAATGCATAAATAAGAGCACTGATTGTCATCAGTAAATTAGGGACTTATGTCCTAGTTGTGAAGCATTTCATTCATCGGTCCCTTAAAATGTGGATATTACTTCTGCTTGGTTGCTGTGATCAGTAAAATTAAAATTGTTCCCCAAAAGAGAAGGATTGATTGTAATATTTACTTCAGTGCTTTGACTTTAAGGCACAAGAATGTTTGTTGTATTTTGCTTGAAAGGCAACCTGATTGAAGCTAAATCTTGGTATAAATAAATCCCCTAGAATATGATGGGACTTTCCAATAGATTTTTGGGGATTAACATCATGATCTCATAGTTTCATATGGTTATAGAATAGCTTGTTTTCCTGGCTACTGAACCAAGTTACTTTCAATTTCCATGTATAAATTATTTTTTAGTCATTTAAATCAGTCCCTTCAAACTTATCCCGAGATGTTATTAGCTACATCTATAAAAATTGATATTAAATTTTTTGCCTATGAGGCAGCTTACAACAAATTTAATAAATGATCAAGTATGTATATCTAAATCAATTCATTCTTTAATTCTTACAGACTGTGTTCACATATATGCTAAGTTGTGCTTTATATTTATAGAATAAATCACAGTGACTAAATGTATATATAAAGTGCTAAAATGAATAGTAACATTTTCAGTTGGCATCATTATGTGATTTTGTGGGCACTTGGAAAAAGGTCCATATTTTAAAAAAACTTTAAACAGTTTTTGAATTATTTAAAAACAAACACTTAAACCACATTTTATATTCTTGGTTGAAGATTATAAAATGGATAACCTGAAAGTGTTTGCTTCCTTCTAAGGTGAATGCTTATGCTCCGATACAGTTCTCAGCTACAAAGCATGTGGGATGTGGGAGCAGCAATGGGAATTCTGTACATACTATAGCATTGTAGTGTAATTACATAGTAAATCTTTTGCACATTTTAAACTGAAAATTGTACCACAATGTGCATTTCAGTTATTGTGTAATATAATGCAAAAAAATTCCTGTGTGACTTTTTCCCTCCTGCAAGATTTTGTATATGAATGCTTCAAGTTTGTTTAAAACATTTCCAACAATAATGTAGCTTCCAGTAAGAGTTAACTTCAGGTGCACCAGGATAAAGGTGTAATATATTAACAGAATTTGAAATACTGTACGTGACCTTGCAAATATATTGTTAGTGCTTCAAATTGGGGGTTTAGTTAATGAACTATTAAAATGTCTAGGCTGTTAGCTATAGGTTCCTCCTGAAGCTTTTCTATATAGTGCGCTAAATTGTACCTAAGGGGAGTCCTTTCTGTTAAAGGGATTTACAATAAATACTCCGCCTTAGAATTCTACAGTGAGGAATACTTTTTCCAATCCAATATGTCTTCCTGCATAAGTTACAAAATACTCCCCAAAAATAAATAATCCATTTTTAAAAAACCCTAATAATGACTGCAGTGATAAATATTGGCTTAGTTTAATAAGATAGTTACTATGGCTTGTCCATAGTCAGCCAGATGTTTAAACTGGATTTGGCATTTTTAGCCACCTATCAAGTCCTTCCCAAAGACCTGGAATAGACAGATGTTTGATGATATTAAAAGTACCAGTTATAATGGTTTGTCACACAGCCAGATGTTTAGACTGAATTTGGCAATTTTAGCCTCTTATTGAATTTCTCCCAAAAACCTGAGATAGGCAGATGTTTAGATATATAGACAATTGGAAGAAAGTTCTGAGAAAACAGAGTTTTCTAATAGTAGTCAATCTTCTATAATATGATTATATTTATATTGGAATTTTATTTTGAAGACTTAAGACTTAAGATGCAGCATATTAAATGCTTTCTATTATCTGTTCTCCAGAATTTGAAAAATGACATCATATCTCTGTTCAGTGCAAATTTATTAAGAAATAAATCCAATTTAGTTCAATTATGTTTACTTCCAAATAAGTGCCTCTGATTCTGCTATGGTTCATAAAACAACTCCATATTTACTAATATTTCTGTACTGGTATATGGAGAATGGACTTGATATCATGACATGAAAATGCATGTAATCAAGTTTGTACAGGTAGTCCTTGACTTACCGTCATTTAATGACTGAAGTTACAGTGACACTGGAAAAAAATGATTTACAACTGGTTTTCACACTTGATGATTGTTGCAGATCCCCATGGTCACATGATCAAAATTCAGACACTTGGCAACTGGCATGTACTTATTGCAGTTGCATCCTGCGGTCATGTGATCATCATATGTAACCTCAGCTGTCTTCTGACAAGCAAAGTCAGTGAGGAAGCCAGATTCATTTAACGACTACATGATTTACTTAACAAGTGCAGTGATTGACGTAACTAAAGTGTGACAAAAAAGTCATAACATGGGACAAAACTCACATAATTGCCTTGCTTAGTAATTGAAAATTTGAGCTCAGTTGTTTTTCTTACATCAAGGACTACTTGTATAAGGCCTAGGTTCATATAATACAATATGCTAAGCCATGATTAATTTTAAATATGGTTTATTTGCAATCCACAGAGGTTGAGTTAGTATATCCTAAACTTAAGATTGAAATTTAAATTTTAGCCCTCATGTAGTCCATTATTACAACTTAATCTGAAAAAAATCATGCAAATTTAATTCATGGTTTAACTCAATGTCTAAATATAGCTTTTTGATTTACTGGTAGTTTGTAATTGCTAAATTATAAAACACTGTGAATTAAGGCAAGTTAAGATTGTTTAATACAAGTAATGTGGAAATACATTTATTTTCACCGCATTTAGAAAACGTTGTTATCTTGTCCATTATTATTTTCTTTGCTTTGTTAGGAAAATTTAATTCAGATTCTCAAGATTCTCAATCTCATGAAAGCATAGAGTAATGAAGATTTCACTCTTCTTAATTTGATTTTTAGGAAGTTGGATGACAGGAACAGTGATCCTAAAAATGTATGAGGTGTCTTAGGTGTTCAAATGAGAAGACTGGATTGTTGTGAGTAAAGAATTTCATTTTTTTAACAACTAGATACCTTTCACCCAGGTAAACTAATTTATTTTGCTCATTTAGATTACTGTGGGGGTTGAATTAATATTCTAGTACACAACAAAATAGTAGGTGTTCCTCCATGTTTCCCATGTTCCAAACTGTGTTCTGTTTTGGAATATCTACCTGAACATTATGGAATTAATTTCAGAAAATATGAATTGAAGAGTGCAGATGCATAGTTAATTAAGTTATGGTATGGCATATATTGGCCAAGGACAGTATATTCCCATTTCCAGAAATCTTTCAGTGGAAAATACTGAATAGTTCAAGGAATATTAAAACAAAGCACAGAATTAGCCTCCCAGTGATGAACTTGCTAGTGTTAAAAATATTTTAATTTTTGGGGGGAGCGTTTATATGACAGGAATGAAATATTTTCTATGAAAAGACAGTGATAATCAAATTGATAGTAATATTTCTTATGACTGTTTTGGGAAACTTTTTTCCCAAAAGTCATATTTATCAAATCCAGAAAAATGTAAAAACTCTGGGTGTTTTACCATGGGTTACCCATGTGTGGTGCTTGATTCCCAATAATTACTTGGACATGACTTACAGTTTTCTAAAGTTATATAAGTTGTTTGTTATTGCCTTCTATTGGAATATTTTCTGACTTGCCAGGTTTAGTGTACAGTTGTGGAATTCTGTGGTGGTATCCTGTCCAAGTTCAAAACGGCCTGATCTTTCTTAGCTTCCCAGTCCAGACAAACTCATCTTGGTGCAGCCATCTGTTGAGTTCAGACCAGAAAAAAAAAAGTGATCTACCAGAATGTAAACTGACAACTTTTGGAAAAGTCATTCTTTCTCCTTTAGGTTTAAAAAACTTCTTCAAAACTTTTAGAGCAAGGACATGATACAGTTTAATGCAGGGGTGAAATCCAGCAGGTTCTGAACCGGTAGCAAAAATTTTGAGCAGTTCAGAGAACTGGTAGCAGAAATTTTGAGTAGTTTGGAGAACCGGCAAATACCACCTCTGGCTGGCCCCAGAGTGGGGTGGGAATGGAGATTTTGCAATATCCTTCCCCCAGGAGTGGAGAGGGGATGCGGATTTTGCAGTATCCTTTCCCTGGAGTGGGGAGGGAATGAAGATTTTGCAGTTTCCTTCCCCTGCCACGGCCATCAAACCACGGCCACAGAACCGGTAGTAAAAAAATTTGGATTTCACCACCGGTTTAATGGCTCTAGTATTTGGCAGGATCTCAGCAATGGCATAACTGTTGGATGGCCTAGTTTGGACTGGAAAACTAAGCTGGGCTGGCCCTAGTTAGTACCTAGATCTACAGAGATATGGTATTGAAAAACACACTGGAAAAAGGCAGTTGTAAATCTCTTCTGAATTGTTGCCGAAGTAACTACATGGGTGTGTCTGTGAGGTCAACTCAGAGGGAACTTTATTAAAGCTTTGAAAGTGTTACCTTTTCACTGCGATTTTTAAAAAAAATCTCTTTATTCTGTTTTAGTCACATTGATCAGGATTAGAAATGTTCTTGTATGTTAAATAGGAAGTTGTTGAAGCTTACCTGAGTTTCAAAATCAGCTGACTATATGGTACAAGAGTCTGAATGAAAATTAGTCCAAACATCAATTTGATTTATTTAGTCTTTGGATTCTGGCCATGGATTAGCCCCTATAGATTAATTTAAATGAAAGTTTGCAAAAAGACGTCTTTTAATCAGGAGTGTTTGATTGTGGTAGCAATTGAATTCTTCTGTATGAAAGCAGTTTGTATTGCATTCCATTGACCTTAAGTGATACTTTCATTATTAGAATTGCCCTCTCATTCATTTGACAAATAATTTGCTTTCTTTTTCTGAGATAGGAATAGTTGCAAAGCCATTAATTTTTTATATATGAATTGCTTGCTATATAAATCACAGCTAAGGGTGGGAACCTTTTGTTAGCCATCTCCAAAATGAATACTTTTGTTTGTCTAAAATACTGAAATGCTGAGACAGCATTTACAAACTTTTGACAAAAACAACAAACTTCATTGATTGAAGTCAACAATGCAGGAAAACATTGCATATTATTATACTGTTGCCCTGCAAAATGGAACTCCAATTGTATGCTGAAAATCGAAGCACTTTAGACATAACCTTCTACTGACTTTGGTACAGATATCATCTGTTTGACGTCAGAGGAACCATATATACAGAAAATGAAATGGGGCATTGTTGACATGGTGATCTTCAGCTAATGAGTTCTAATGGGGCTTTTTTTCTCTGGCAAATTAGAAATGATATACTGGTAGGAACAAAGGCTAATCTTTGTCAGGAAGTATAAAGTAGAAAAACCTGCTGATGTTATTCCTTACTTAGGTAGAACAACAATAGCATTTTATTTATTTATTACCTCTCCTTTAACGCTTTTAAAACTTCTGGGTGTTTTTCAGGCTTATAACACAGAATGAAATGTGTCCTCCATATTCTGTATAGATTGTTACACCAAATTGAGTACCACGGCTAGAATCCCGAAACTAGTTTGAAATCTGTTCTAAGATAGAAAGTTGATCCTTTTCTAAAATGCTATCAGGATGCCAAGTACTAAAAACGCCTGGAATGCATAGCAATGGAAGTTTGCTTTGTTCCCTTAGCGACTTGATTCACTGAAAAAATGTGGCTTCCCTAGGAGGCTTTAATAGCTTTGACTTTAGTGGTGAATAAAAGGAATCAATTTCTAGTACAATTTAGCTTGTTTTCATCTGCTCTTGAAGGACAAGTTTTCTTAACCTTGGTGCAGAGAAATCTAACCTTGTCTTTTCCAGGAGGTGATTTATGAGGATCCTTTATATTTATCAGTTGAAGTAAATAATCTTCCAAGTCTATGCATTTTGAATAACTAAAACATTTTTGTGTATCAGCTTTCACTGAATATTTTACGAGTGGAGGAGAATGGCTTAGTATCTTTCTAATGCCTTTATTTTAACACTCTTGTTCATTGTAATTGTTACAACAATAAATTCTTACAAAACAGTCTTTAAGCAGTGTTTACCTTGACTTCAAAAGGAGAATTAGAGTTGTTCACAGTAATCCAGGTTTGATATTCTGAATATACATTAGGGTTATTGCAAAGCTTATCTGAGTATAAAGTATATTGAAAAATTAATGGAGCTGTTACAATATGTGATAGCTCATTAGATATTTTTGGAACTATCACTCTGAGTTTGGTAAAGTGAATACCATTTTTCTTGAAGCAGGCTAATCTTAAGGAGCAGCTGAATATATTTGCTCATTGCATCTTTTAACTCAATAGAAACCTTATACTTGAGATACTTGCCTATTACATCATATTGATTATTGTATTTTTCGGAGTATAAGACACACCTTTTCCCCCCAAAAAAGAGGGTGAAAATCTGGGTACTTCTTATACTCCGAATGTAGCTCCGCCCAGCTTCTCAAATGGAGGTTTCAGAGACGGAAAAAAGCATCAGAAACAAAGCTTCAGAAAAGAAGCCCCCAAACACAGCTTCAGAAAAAAAGCTTCTAAACAGAGCTTCAGAGGCTTTTTTTTCTGAAGCTCTGTTTCAGAGGCTTTCAGAAACAAGAAAAAGTTTTTTCTGAAACGGTGTTTCAGAAGTTTCATAGGCAGAAAAAAAAGCAAAAAAAAGCAAGGCACAGAGCTCACAACCAAGGAACCTGTTGCTAAAATTCACCTCTGAGAACAGCTGATTGAGGGTATTCTGGGAGGCCGATCCACCTTCCAATCAGCTTTTTTCTTATTTTCCTCTCCAAAAACTAAGGTGCGTCTTATACTCTAGTTCGTCTTATATTCTGAAAAATACAATACATAGATTTCTGCAGATAGAAATTTTGGAAACTGCTCTAGTGGAATGGAAGCGGAGATGGTAAGGAGGATTTTCTAAGTCAACCTGCCTGGATATAGTTGTAGGTTAATGAGAAAACAACAACAACAACTAAGGAATGAATATTGCTATTGACAGTGAGCGATTGTAAACATCCTCGACTGGAAGCTGTGAAGCAGCAGATGGGGCTTTCAGTCAGATGTTTGCAGCTGCCAACTGCCATGGGCACCAAACTTTCAGAAATCTTTTAGCATGTTCCTAAAAAAGAAATAAAGTGGTCTTTATAAAAAGCAAAATTGTCTTGCTTTCTGAAGGCCTGAAATATCCACATGTAAAAAGAATACTTTGGGAGCAGGATGAACATTGGGATTACAGAAGAAAAGTAAGAAATGCAGGGGGCTTGCTGTTTTTTCCCCTTTTTTCGGCCCTCATTTAACTTTAGATCTCAACAGTATCTTAATGCTGTTTTGTACCATACCTGTTTTCTCCTTTCTGAGAGAAAATGTAAATCTTACATTGCTTCCCCCCTCCCCCAAATGTTTTTATGCTGTTCTAAGCATATTTTGGTACGGTTCATCCTGTTTACTTAACTTTGGGTTTTATTTATTAAACATAAAGATGGCACGAAATTTGTGAGAAGCCCAGATTTTTCAACCCACCTAGCTGGTAGGAGCTTGCTATTAGGGTCTGTGATATTAATTTGAAGAGTTTCACTCCATTCTATTTGTGCTGCAGTTGCTTTTTTAAAACTGGAAGAGGGATATGTTTCCCCATCCTGTTAAAGTTCCTCCCTTTCCTAGAATGCATCATTTTGTGACTTGTTTCATTCATTTATTCAACTTGCATGTTTTATTTCTGGAGTCTTTGAGTGGCTTATGATATTAATATTGGGTGATTAGAAGCAAAAATTGTCAATTAAAATCAATCTGTCTAATGGGCCACCATTAACAGTAGAATAATCTTACTTATATCCAGGTGAAAAGTCTGTTTTAATATCTTTCTAGGGAAAAAACTAGTAAGGTGGGTGTGGTCCAGGTATCCAAGAATAAACTGTTCCAGAGGAGGTGGCCATCAATGAGAAGGCTGAGCTTGGAGTGCATGTGGATTCAACATAGGCAGATTCAGCCTGGAGAAGATAATGATA